CCCCCCCCCCCCCCCCTCCCCCAATTTCCCTGCACTCCCATTTGGCATCTACGTTGGCCTTGCAGTGTCTTTGAGGGTTTAGGGGTTAAAAGCTAGTATCCACGTGCCCTAGACCCTAGTGTCAGGGTTCTTATGCAGTGACTTTAGAGCGGGTTTGTGTTTACTGGACAGGTGCATGGACCCGTTTGGGTTTAGGATCTAGGGTTCAGCAACTCAGGAGCCCACAAAATTTGTTGAGGTCTGTCTTCACAAAGCCTGCACCAAAACCTACACCCTGAATGTTAAAAAACCCATTACCCCAAGCCCCAAACTACCTTCAACCTTAAACCGTAGATCCCAAGACGCTGAACCCTAAACGAGTTCTCAAAGCCTACAGCTCAACTCCCCAACCCCAAAATTATTAATATTCTGCTGTTGTTATCAACCTTTCTCATGTGTTAGCTTTATGATCATCATTAACATCATGAGTATGGCCACGACTCCCATCATGGTTTTTAATGAACAAGAAGCCATAAGCCAGGCCCGAGGCATCCGTGGTCGCTTGGAGGACCGGTAGGCTCTGATCTTCCTGCTTTGGGAATATCCAAGCACCTAGAAATCTAATGGNNGGTTCAGGGTTCAGAGTTTAGGATTTTTAGAGGCTTTAAGGTTTAGGGTTTCATTGGGTTTTTGGTTATCTATGTGTTCGGGGTTTACCAAGGTGGAAGTCTTAGATAAATAGTTCGAAATCTGATCTGAGAGCTCTCACGGCCCTCACAAGGATTCCAAGCATAGTAGGTAATCTAGGTATGTATGTAATTACATATAAGATAGATAGATAGATAGATAGAGAGGGAGCGAGATGGGTGTGTGTGTGTGTATGTAGACATATATATATATATATTTATTTATTTATTTATATTTATGTACAAACTATGCTACTATGTAGGTGCATGGACCCTTAGGCTACACCCTAAAGCTCCCACCGAAACACAGTTCCCGCTACTTTGTTTGGTACATGGCGCCCTGGGGTTCGTCTTGAGGACCTGGGTGGTGCCCAACCACCGGTCGCCGACAGAAGGCTTCATGCTCCAGAATATTGAGGGCATCACTGTGGCTCGTTGGGGTTGGCCCTTATGGTCTTTAACGAGATAGCGATGTTCATAAATAAGTTTGTGGGTGCCCCGAAGTCTTTTTGTATGTTTTTGTTCGGCGCCGAGGCCTCCATCCTTACGGCTGCGAACTTCTCAATTTACCGGGTTTGATGATACAGGCGTAGAGCTTGAAGGCTTTATGCCACGACGGGCTCTCGACCCTTGCATCCCCTGACGAGGGTTTCAGTGGGGAGCCGAGACAGGCTCTTGATGCAGAGAAGTAAGCATGTCCCAAAGTCGAGGGAATGAGCCTCAAGTTCGGTTCCCAAGGGTTGAGCGTTTGGGCTGTAGACAATGGATCCTAAACCGAATCCCAGTGCAGGGTACGTAATCTCCGCCTGGCGACTTCCGGGACCCCTCAGTGAAAGAGTCTTCCTCAAACTACTCTCCTCTTTACTGAGGCTGCCTCTGAAGGCCGCCACCTATATCGTCCATCTCTCTCACTCCCTCACACTCTCTGTCTGTCTCTCTCTCTCTCTCTCTCTCCGGTTGCTTGTGTTACTTGTATCGACCATTGGCCGTCAAGGTTGTTCGAGCTGCTGGGCGTCGACCCAGGCTGCTCGCAGACTCTTCAGTTTTGGCTCCCGTGGAGGTTCACAGCTTTGAGGTACTCGGGCTCAGGAAGCGTGGCGTGTCATGCTTACTTTTCTGGCAGCAAGCGTACACTGGGGTTTGTTCGAAAGTATGACCCCGTTTAGGGTGCCTCCTCTAAGGGAGCAGTAGTTTGGATCGTGTTTCTGAGTCCGAGACCCCGAAGTGTGAAAATGCACGAATCGAAAGACAAAACCAAGGGCCATCAATCGACCAAGGACTTCGTTCTAGAGCTGCTCAAATGTCTACGTAGAAATCCCCCTTGTGATTTGTAAAATGTGACTTTGGCCTGGGTATGTGCTGAAGGTACAGACATATATTCTGATAAAATGCAGATGCGCAATGTTCATGCACATATGATACATGCAGTTCAAAACTTCAAAGCCAGATATCTTTTCATACACGCAGATGCGACCGCTGACACACTGCGACGTGCCTGGCGCCGACGTGCAAGACGACTGCATCCGGACAGTTCGTGCCGTCTTGTTTTCTTCGGAAGATTTGGGTGGCCTCCTAAAAAATCACTGGGCACGTAAAACCGTTTAAACCTAAACCCTAAATCTGTTAGTGTTCCGATCACGCGAAGCCATTTCTGTTGCGGCCCTCGAGGACGCATCGCCAGACGAAGCAGCAGCCTTCGCAGCACTCAAAGAGGCGCCGAACCCCAGAATCCTCGGTTTAGGGTTGGGGGTTTCATTGTAGTTCTTTTCTGGGGTTACCTTATAGGTTCCCAAATTGAATCACAAAAGGAACTACAATGGAGACTATAGGGAAAACGTACGTCCCCACCTGCTCAATGTCGCCTTTGCAACACACCGGCTCGTGAGGGTTTGCTAGACGCCTTAAACTAAAGTCGCCTCAGAGAAGCCATGTCCTCTATGGGCTTGTGGCATCTTGCTCCCTCCGTGCATCTTGATGGCTCCACGGGCATAGCAGTCATTGCATGAAAAATGAGAAAAACTGGCAACAAGGACGTGCGAGTGCAGGGTCGTACTGTCGCGAAGCTGAGCTTGCACGGAAGATGTAAGTTGTACGAGCATGAAACCAGATAGAATTCCTCCCAAGTTGATAAGGAAGGTTTTGAGACGATCATCAAGTCTAGTGCCATCAACCCTCTTATTCAGCCTTTGAGCCCTACCGGCCCCGAAAACCGTAAATGTCAAACCGTCCCTGTAAGCCACGCTCCGGTTCTCTCTGCACTGCAACGAGAGAGTATGGTTGTTGTTTAGCTGGTTGATTTTCCAATACGACTCGCAGACCGTATCCAGCAGCATGAGCAACGTCATGCCTTGGACCCTAATGCGTATACTCCTTCTGCATAACTGGTTTTTGAACGCTACACCGTGAGGCCTCAAGCCAATCCCGAAACAATGTTGCCTCGATCCTGCGTCCTTCTTACTGTTTGGGCGCACGCCCCAAACAGTCAAAGACTAGTAATTAGGCCGAGCCTTACATATAACATATTACCAGGTTATACAAAATACTACATCATATTAAGCGATCATACTATATCGCATGATATTGTACCCTAAACCCTAAACCCTAAAGCCTATATCCTAAACCGTAAACCGTATGCCATACAAACCTTTCACTATCACTTCGGGTACGAGTACCTCCAGGGCACGAGGTCCTGCAGCTGGGATCTCGGGAACCCACCATTTAGGGTTTAGGGTTCGGGGTTTAGGGTTTAGGGTTTAGGGGTTTAGGTTTTAGGATAGGGGTTTACGTAGGGACGAAACTAAGGCCTAAGTATACACCATATGGGGGTTTCCGAAAATAGGGGACCTAATATAGTACCCTAAATAATCGGATCCCTATTATAAGGACCCCAAAATAAGGTACCCTAGTTTTTGGAAACTCCCATAAACCCTTATAAACCCTAAACCCTAAACCCTAAACCCTAAACCCTAAACCCTAAACCCTCAACCCTAAACCCTAAACCCTAAACCCTAAACCTACATGAAGCCCAAGGGATGTCCTGCCATGAGGCCTTTGAAGTCCTTTCGGAGCCGCGACTCGGCTCTTGATCCCGTGGGCTTGCAATCGTCTAGGCTTTAGGGTTTAGGGTTTAGGGTTTAGGGTTTAGGGTTTAGGGTTTAGGGTTTAGGGTTTAGGGTTTAGGGTTTAGGGTTTAGGCTGGCGCTGAGGGCTTTTTGGTCGTGGGGCTAGGGTTTAGGCTTGAGGGTTTAGGTAGATTCTAATCTTAGACATCCAGCAGCTACACAGTTTAGCTTCTTCGTTGATGATCAATTCACATACGTTTCTTGTCTCATTGTTTTTTTCATGGATCGCCGAAGTTTTTACCTTTTGGGAGATAAAGTACACGTTTCAGAAACGATGCTAGGGCCCAGGTCGATGGTTATTTTAGTCATTGTCATTTGCGACTGTCAGTGTACGTACTACTTACTATCCTTGCGGCTGTTATTACTCTTGCTCTATTATTAGCTTTATCAACCATAGTTGACTTATACTTAATTAACGTTATGACGAACAGAAGTCTGTACGTTGCCGATCCTATGATCCTGTCATCATCATTGCTGTTTGCCGTTGTCAACGTGACTGTATGCATCGTGTGTGGTCTGATTTTTGTTGTTGTCACAGTCCTTGGCAGTCTTACTCTTTCACCAAAAACCCTAAACCCAGAGAACCCAATACCCCTTTAATAAGGTATATACCTTAAACTATAGGGGCCTTAATATTATCATTATAAGGTATATTCCTGAATTAAGGGGTGTTGGGCTCTCTGGGAACCCCATAAGCCCTACTTGGAGGGTCGGGAGACTTAGTAAGTAGGTAATTAGTAGACTTACAAGTACCCTAAAAGGGACCCTAATTGGGGTTATAATACTTATAAGTCTATAGAATAACCATTTACCAAGTCCCCCGACCCTCCAAGTAAGCCTGCAAATTGCCAACCCCCGGACTCTGATCGCGGAACTCCACTCTGACGTGGCTTCTTGACTTTGCTAAGCCCTTCACCCGAAAACCCGAAACCCTCAAACCTCAACCCTTATGAGCCCCTAAACCCTAAACCCTAAACCCTAAACTCTAAACCCTATCCCAAACCCTAAACCCTAAATCCTAAACCCTAAACCCTAAATCCTAAACCCTAAACCCTAAATCCTAAACCCTAACCTCTAAACCCCATCTAACCCCCCCTAAGTACTAAGCCCACCCGCCGAGGACTCAGCGAGTCCGCTATGAGGCTCTCGGCGCTGCAGGCCTCCAGGAATTCGAGGCAGGCTTGGCCTTCTTAGGGTTTATGGTTTGGGGTTCAGGGCTTAGGGTTCAGGGTTTAGGGTTTAGGGTTTAGGGTTTAGGGCTTAGGGTTTGGGGTTTAGGGCTTAGGGTTTAGGGTTTACGGTTAAGGGTTTAGGGTTTGGGGTTCAGGGCTTAGGGTTCAGGGTGTAGGGTTTGGGGTTCAGGGCTGAGGGTTCAGGGTTTATGGTTTGGGGTTCAGGGCTTCGGGTTTAGGGCTTAGGGTTTAGGGTTTAGGGTTTGGGGTTTAGGGTTTAGGGTTTAGGGCTTTCGGCTTAGGGTTTAGGGTTGAGGGTTTAGGGTTTAGGGTTTAGGGTTTAGGGCTTTGGGTTTAGGGCTTCGGTTTCAGGGCTTAGGGTTTAGGGTTTAGGGTTGAGGGTTTGGGGCTTCAGGGTTAGGGGTTTCGAATTCGAGGCGAGCTCAGGGTAAGGGGGGTTTCGTAGTTGGCCTGAGCAAGGGCATTGGGTTTTGGGCTTAGGGTTTAGGGTTTAGGGTCAAGGGTTCAGGGCGTAGCGCTCAGGCTTGAACCGCAATTACATCTGCTTGCGCTCGGCAGAACTTTCTGATACCGGCTCAGGCTTAAACTTTATAAATCTCAAGCCTTCAACACAAGCCTACAACCCCCAGTAAAACCCTGAACCCCGTGAGCCCTAAGCCTTATAAACCGAAGACCCTTAACCCTAAACAACCCCTACGTAAACCCTAAACCATCCTATACCCTAAACGCCTAGACCTTCAACACCAAAACCGTAAACCCTACCTGTAGTCTCCATTGTAGTTCCTTGTTGGGGATACCTTATAGAATCCTTAATATATAATTGGTTAAACCCCAAAAAGGAACTACGATGGAGACTATAGGTAAACCGTAAACCCTTCGTGGGCCCTTTGGCCAGGCTTCTCTGCAGGGCTTCACAACGGCCCTGTCCCTGGTCCTGGGCCGCTTGTCACAGAACCTCCGGTCCTGTCAAAGGGCTCCAAGGGTGAGATGAAGGTATGTGGGGTAATCCCAACATGACCCCAAGGGTCGACAGGACCCAATAATCAGGTACTTTGGTTGCGGATAGTAGTTATTTAGGTTAATATTTGGGAGAGTATATGATTATTAGGTACTTGGCACCTTAGGGTGAGAGTCCTTATATAAGGGATCCTTAATCCTACATCCCAGCTTTTGAGGCCTCCAATCTGGAAGACACACAAGAGGCATGCATAGGGCTTTGGGTTTAGGGTTCAGGGTTTAGGGCTCTGGTTGTGGATTTAGGGTTCTTCTAGGGCTAGGAACCTTTGGGTTTAGGGTTCAGGGTTTAGGGCTTTGGTTGTGGATTTAGGGTTCTTGTCTAGGGATAGGAACTAGGGTTCAGGACGTTAGGGACTTCTTGTTGAGGATCCCAGATCCTACCATTACATGGCCCCCTAGCTGGTTTCTTCTAGGGATGTAGGGATCCGTGATCCTATCGGGGCGTTCTGAGTATGGTAATTCACCGCTTTCTAATCGTATGGTTTTCGGCATTGAAACCGTATGAAATGCCGATAGAACCCTAAGAGAATCGAAAATTGGTATGGCCCTTATTATCTTGTCAAACTCTGTAGAATCTTGAGAAAACCTTATGTTTGTAAGGACAGCCTGGACATACCCTGTGCTATAAAATTGTGTCC